GTTTGAAAAAATTATGCAATTTTTTGGAGACACTTAATTCGATAAGAAAAAGCCACTATTCAAGAGAAACAAAAACGACAAAACCAAGAAGAAAACAAGCACTTAAAAACAACAAATATAGTTGCTAACCTGAAGGTTATCCCAATCTAGTCGAGACCAACTTTTTGCCAATGATTCCGCAGTTTCAGCGTTCAATGTCCCTATCATTGTTTATACATTTGGCCTATAATCTTCCAAAACAATAACTTCTGTTCAACTTATAAATTAACCTGTTATTTCACTTACATATACTATCGCAACATAAAACGTCATCAATAACAACAATTGTTGTTCATGCTGATACATAGTCATTGTACATATAGTGTCATTTATTAATAGGTGATATCGAATCATGATGCAATAACAATAGCCGAAACAACAGCAACATCCATATAATGACTTTTAATGAGTATCATCAACACAATTAGTACCTCTACCATTCACAGATTTCAAGCAACAATATTTGTAAATTTAAAATCGATAAGCCAACAATATAAAAAGAGCGAGAAAAAAAATGAACTACATTTTTTTCCTCTTTTCTTCTTTTTCAGATAACAATTAAGTTCAAACAGAAAAAAAAAACACAGAAACTAGCTAAAAATTTTAGATTACATTCAATTTAAAATTTAGTAGGAAAAAAAAATGAAGAAAAAAGTAGGGCAAGAATAAAGAAAAAGAGGGAAAAAAAGACATGAAGAAAAAAATAGCTAACGAACAAGAAGTGAAATAAAAAAAAGGACTTAAGAATAAAATTAACACAAAAACATTTCAGAACACTAAACTAATTTTATTTTTAAACAAGTAAAAAATAAAAATAGGAGGTGAAAAAAAAAAAGACAAAAAACTATAGCTACAGCAGTAATGAGACCAGTAAAATGACAACAATAACATCATCAACAAATAGAATCATGCATGAAATCAGCAGAACCAGCAATAGCGACGGTATATTAACGCCACGTGGATAATAACAGCAAATATCTTGATCTTCATTCATTCACCCATACACTTAGGGGACACCAGACACAGACACACACACATATGTAAACGAACATTTGAATACACATCTCCACAAGCACATATGCCCAACAGCAATCGAAACCATTGTTTTCAGTTTTTTTTCCAAAACAATTTTATTCCATATTCAGTATTTGAAATATCCATCTTAACAACTCTTTTAAGCGTTTGCAAAGCAAAAAAAAAA